TAAAAAGCTGGCTTTATAACCCATAGAATGAGTTCTCTTATTAGAATTAGAATTAGCTATTCAAAACGGTTAGTAGTCAACAAAAGTATGGTCATCATAGGTTGGCCTAATGGTCATAAAGGTCTGAAGGAAATAAAATGAAAAGAGTTTAATCCTCAGCCATTGCCTACCTAGAGTTTAATATGCTATGTATTTCCTATCAACCAAATGTAGTAGGGTCCGTTGTATTTCCTATCAACCAAATGTAGTATATCCTACGTATTTCCTATCGACCAAAGGAAATGAAATGAAATGAAAAGATGTAAACAACTTGACTCGGACGACACTCACCGATATAATTTAAAAAAGAAAAGATGAGTTCCCCTTATCAGAATTAGAATTAGCTATTCAAAACAATTAGTATTCAACAAAACTACAACCATCATGGCCTTGACCTAGTGGTCACAGAGAAATAAAAGGGAATGAGTTTAATCAATGGTGGTCCACCTACCTATCCTAGTTGTTTCATATCAACCAACGTAGTAGAGTTAGAATGTTGTCTTGTAAAATTAGTCAAGATGCATGTAACCTAGCGGACACTCATCGATATATATTAAAAAGAGTATTCAACAAAACCGTTAGTATTATGAGTTCCCCTTATCAGAACTAGAATTAGCTATTCAAAACGGTTAGTATTCAACAGAACATTCTGAGTTGACCTAGTGATCAAAACGGCCTCGGGGAAATAAGAGGGAATGAGTTTAATCCATGGTGGTTGTCAACCAAGGATTTAATATCTTACGCATTTCCTACAACCAAATGTATTATAGTAAGACAAGAAATTACTCAAGATGCTACAAGACAACAGCACTCACCAGTATAAAAAAAAAGTACTCAACAAAACTGCTAGTATTAATGAGTTCCCCTGTCAGAATAAGGGTTAGCTATTCAAATTGGTTAGTATTCAACAAAACTCAATTACCTTGATGGAAGGTCCCCGAATTTCTCCCACCAACTTGCTCATTCATATTGTTTCTACTTGTAAAATTTAAGCTTGGCAGTTCAACATCAAGCCAAAGCACCAGTTGCATCTTCTTAGAAATAAACAGCTAGCAGGCTAAGTAGCAATTCTCAGAATTTAATCTCCAATTTGGGTGATGGATGTCAACTAAGTTTAATCATCCTAAACAAATAATCTATTTTCACCAGATCTTAGTTGTCAGTACCATTGCGTTTGTTGAGATTGAACTCAAATCTCATTCTCAATCCATTCTACAGACTGAAGTCTGAAAACTTAAAATTCAGTAACAAATATATGCACACAGAATGATAATGAAGCAGCTGTGAATTTACGGAATGCGACCATACGGAGGAAACAAGAATCAACATACCTGATCATTCACACTAATGTGCCACTTCAATTGCAGAGATTGCCAACTCTCCTGCTTCCAACGCTGCCCAAGTATTACAAGTCCCATAACAGCTGCTGCAATGAAAATGGACCAAAATGCATTCGCTTCTTTTGCATGAGAGTATAAACTCGCAGCTCTTCTCTTCCACCAAGCACCACAAGGAAGACTGGACTTTTTGCTCTTACTATTGAGTCTAGGAGTTTCTGAGATTTCTGGAGTTGAGACTTGATCAGTAGGTTCAGGTGGAGGGATTTCATCAAATGTCGTTGAACTGAGATCACTTTCAGCATGAAAGGAACTATATGTAGGGGCACCAAAGAGGTCCTGCTCCTTGTGAACCAGATTCAAATCTTGTAATGTGGTATTTTCACCAAAATCATCACCATGAAAAGACAACTTGCTGCCTTTCTCCGTAATTTTATCAATCCCCGAAAACTCATCTGTCTCACCCAACCCTTCTAAATTCAAGCTATCTTCAGACTTTCCACCAGAATTCCCGCCATCTACAGCAGCAGAATCAGACACCACATTCTCCTTCACTCCTTGGTCATTGTGAATCTCGCTCTTATCAGGTTCCAATGGCAAATTCTCGTGCTGACTTGGTGGAAATACAAAGTGCTTAGACATAAAAAGAGCGTGGGAAGTTTCTGCTTCATACAAATTGCTTTTATTTTCATCACTCTGTTCATCTTCCTTCGCACTAGGAGCAGCTTCATATGCCGAAGCAGTGAGTGAAACAACTTCCCATTCAGTTCCACGAGCGGTACTGTCTTCTCCATCATTATCTGCCATCCTAAGGGAGTCTTCGTGTGCTGGAGCCTCCCAACAACTGGCAAAGGAAAACGTATCTTCTTAACAGCTCGATTATAAGGAAGAAGGTAGGAAAGGGGAAAAAAAAAAAAAAACATGCTCCAGACGCAATTTCAACTGTGTGACAATCTATCTACCTGAGAATTTTAGACCCAAGTAATAAGTCGCATCCATAACTTCCAACTCCATAAACGGAAACACAACAATAAGACAAACAAGAAGGAAACTCCCCTCGTGCCACATCAATTCAACGAGTCATCAACACATCCCGATTATACCTCTAATTTACAACAAGTTTTCACAATTAAATCACATAACAAAGATTTAAACCTGAAAAAGTGTAAATTAAAAATCTAATCGCAGTTGCACATCGCAACTATAATCGTATATTTAGGTCGTAGAATCATCCATTCAATGATTCAAAAACAAACAACAAACGGATCTAACATCGTACCAATAGGCAACAAAGAACACCACCAATCAAACCACAGGACATACCCGATCATCCATCAAACAAACCAAAAATCGACAATCAACCACAAAACTTCTCGATCCAACAATGAAAGACGAAAAAGGAAACAATCAATAATTGCAGATAACAGTAGCAGAAGAGACGAACCGGACGAGAGAGAGGCGATCGGAGATTCACGACGAACGGCGACGACGTGACGATAAGGATGAAAGTTGCCTCGGGAAATGGTGAAGGGATTGGGACTGAGACGTGAATGTTTGGGGTAAACTAATAATCTCCGCCAAATCAATGATGGAAACCGGCGGTTACCGGTGACAATTAGATTTGCAAAGCAGATAGCCTAACCGCTCTAGCAGGTTGAGTTTGTCGCGCTTTGCCTATTTCTAGTTTTTTTTTTTAAATCAAATTATAATATTTTCACAAATTTTATATTTCTATTCGTTCCATTTTCATAAATAATTTAGATACTCAATTTAATATTTTTAGTTTTTTAAAAATATTTAAATATTCGATTTGAAAATCATTCAGTATTTTAAAATTTTTAATTTTAAAAATATATAGATATTTTTTTTAAATCATACTAATTGATTTAGAGTATTAAGAATCTAATTTAATTTAAATTTAAGCATATTTGAACTAACTATTTTTAAAATAAAATTTAATAGATATAAATTTAGGATTTAAATTAGTAGCATTATTATTAGATAAATAATACCAAATATTTTTTTGTGTTTAATATGTTTTATAATATTCTAAAAATATAATAAATCTAAAATAAAATAAAATTTATGTTAAAGAAATTATTAAGTATTGAATCTATGAGTAATAGATAATCTTTTATTAAAAGTAATGATAAAAAAGATTGAATTTTTTAAGATAAATTTTAAAAATATTAAATAAATAAAATATTTATTAGACGATACATTAAAATTTTGAAGATTAACCTATCATTAAACATATATTATTGATGAAGAGATTAAATGTGTAAATATAAACTATTTAATAAAAATAAGTTCTTATTTAAATATATAAAATACTCGTTTGTATTAAATAAAAGTTAAAATATAATTTGATTTATCGTTCCATAAATATTTTGTTTTACATTTTATTTTAAAAATTATTTTTGTTCGTATTTAATAAAATATTTAAATTTTGAGTTAAATTAGAAAAAAGCATAAGTATTGAAAACTATGAATTTAATCAACATTAATGTTTTAAAAATTAATGTTCTTATTTTTAGTCAATAAATATTAATGTTCTTAATTTTTAAAATTAAAATTATAGTTTACCCATGAATTTTTGTGTTTTATTATCTGCATTTTGTATATGTTATAAAAAATCAAATTAAGTATTGAAAACTATAAATATATTAAAATAATAATAATAAAAAAAATATATGTTTGCTTTTTAAATTTTACTATGAATTCTAATATTTTATTAAGAAAAATAAAAAAATATTTATTGAGAAATGATAAAAAGAATAAGCAAAATTTTGGCAATCTTTTTAAATTTTAAAATCCTAACTTAGATTTTTAAAATATGAATAAACAATAGATATCAAAACATTAAAAAAAAAATTATAGATTTAAATAATATTAATAGGCTTAATTTTTAATACGAAAAATTAATTAATTATTTTTATAAAATTATTTTCTCATCGATTGTTTACATTGTGTTTCACATCTCTTAACAGCTGAGTTTTTTTAAATAATAAATTACTTTCTAAAACGGTTTAATTTGCTCATAATTTACTAACGAATTTGATTTTCCCCCTTTCCCATGCTTACCCAATCCTCCAATTCCATTCTCAAAAAATAAATAAATAAAAATCTTATATTCTTGATAATAATAATAATAATAATAATAATAATAATAATAATAATAATAAACAATTCAAAACAATATGGTAGATGATTATTAAGAAAAGAGAAAAACCAAAAACACACAAACAAACATTCGTACCTGAAACCGTCTATCATTCATCTGACATGCTAAAACTACCCTGCTTTTCAAACTGCCCTCTGCTTCTCTGTTTTAACAATATATATACATATATATATATACATACATACATACATATATATATATATACACATACACATACATATACACACACATACATATACATATATATATATATATACATACATATACGTATATATACATCTATATACATACATATATATATATATATATATGTATATATATGTGTACATATATATGTTGTTTTCAAATTTGTTATATTCTAATCCTTCTACTTAGGATGTCAAAATTGGTATCTACTATAGGTTAGTTTGCACGGACTAAAATGGAATGAGACCTAATAATACACGGACCAAAATAATATTTAAAAATCAAATACCCGAACGAAAAAAGAAGCCCAAATACAGGGACTGGAGAGCAAAATCCTAGAGTCCCCAGGGGTCTATGGACAATAATTCCCATGTAATAAGGGGCAAGAACTTATTTTTGCAGTAATTTCCATTCAATTGCTACAACAAGATTGAAAAGCTAAACAGATTAAGAAATCCAAAAATCCCAGTTTGAAGGTTGGAGATTGATACCATATTGGTTCTATAATTCTTGATGCAATGGCTCGGTATCTTCTGAAGGATTGGTGTCATCAGCTTTGTTCTTATCCTTTTGGAGCATCTCAATGACTTCCTCAACAGGAGGATCTCCAGGTCTTCGAAATGCTTGCTCCCCAATTTTGATCTCGTACGATTCGGGATGGCTAAACACAAACTCCTTCAACTGAAAGAACATTTAAACAAAAAATGTTGAGAAACAAGAACTGAATTTCAAAAGATGTGATGAGGAACTCCCTGCCATTTTTACAAAGAATGAACTGTTTTTTCCTACTCGGAGAGTTTTGTTTGATGGGTGGATTTCTGAAAGTGAAAACAGAGAACACCCTAGAACAAATTTGATCAAAACTAGGTATGAGGATGATGTTCTTGGTATAACATTTTCATTTTTGTTGGCTTTTTGTACCATAAATTTGAGCCATGAACAATGAGAAACACTAAAAATTTGCATATGGAAGAGTAAATTTAGGAGGAAAAACATGTAAGAACAATAACAAAAGGGTTTCGACTGATATTCTAATGTGATTTTTTCTCATGGGATCAAAATACATTTCTAGAATTGTCATTTCATCGATAATTTGTTAGAAAACCGTCACATTGTGGCTGACAGATTTGAACCAGCCACAATGTAGCAGCCTCCTAATCTGCTCATCTCATTATGCCTATCCAATCTATATGGGACGGTTATGATAATGCAGAAACAACATCAGGAGTTCACAAAATTTAAGATCGAACTTCAATGACAAAATTAAAATGATCCAAGACTGTAGGACTTGAACTACATGATTGGAATTGGGGTTAGGCTTTTGATTGGATCCCATAAAGAAGCCAAAATCTGGGAGTAAAAAATATTTTCCAGGCGAATTGGAGAGCAATTGAGGAGTTTCAGTTCCAGAATCGGGTAATTAAAGTACCTCATCCAAATCTTGTCCTCTGTCCACTGTGAACATGAGTGTACTGAGGTCTACCGCCATAAATTTTGCCTCGATTGATCCAGTTTTCAGAATTCTCGTCCATTGCATTGCAATCGTACCCACCATCTCCTGAAATCAATCAATAGTGATAAATGCTGGTAAAACGTGATCATGTGAAGACGTTAGTCTCCGAATTTTTCAATTAGGAGCTATATACGCGTTCAATTAACAGAAAATACAAAACAATCGAGATTTTCAAGGTTTTCTCGTTTCAACCTTGGCATCCGTTTACATAAACTCCCTGTCGCAAAATTCGACATGCATTCGAATTCAAAAATCATTTCATCAAATAAACCGGAACCAATTTGACCAGCAGCAGTTAAATTATCCATAACTTTCCGGAATTGAATTAGCATCTCAGTAAGGGAGATTGGCGAAATTTCTTACCGGAGTCCGACGAACGCCGAGCCGAAGCTTCACAAATCCCATAGTTGGACCAGATTGCCGCTTCATCATCTCAGCCTGGATCTCCGGAAGCTCCATCTTCGATAAATCAGGCGGCGGGAGGTCGAAATCGCTAGAGGCAGACTTTTTCTTGCCCCATTCCTTCCAAGATTCGTCCTCTTCATCGTCAACCACGTCATCGAGATCATCTGTAATGTGGATTCTCCGCTGTCCACCTTCGGCGAAACGATTGAATCCGGCATCCTTGAAAATGCCGGCGGTGAGGACGATCAGAAAGAAGACTGGTAGAAGCGATGAAGGTGAGAAGCAAATTCTCATGGTTTCTTTCTGAGAAATGGCACAGGCGACGGTTGCGAGTCTGATAAAAATAAAATACAAATTAAAAAAAAAAAAAAATAAATGAATTCCAGAAATATTTGATTTAACAAAAAGACAAAAAAAAAAAAAAAAAGACTTGAAATTCACC